CTGGATTTAAACATTCTTCGAAACATTTGGGATAATGTAAGTACACAAGTCAGCAAAATATATAACACTGTTCTAGTGGTTTTTGGATATTTTAATAAAAAAATCTTACATATTGTGCCTTTAAATCGACAGCTCTAATACAAAGTTTTGAGCGAATAAGAGACAAAAGTACACATCTCAGACTAAAGTTAATGTCTCTCACACCAAACAAGTTTTATTTGTGTACAGCCACAATATTAACGCAAACAGACGCCAACCTTCCTTATAAATAACGTCACGTTCTCTTACCCGGGATCTCTGCATGGGATTGTCAAAGTCCGTCCCCTCTGGAGCCAAACACAGCCATCCGCCATAGATCGGCTTGGCCTGCGAGAAAATCAAAACATATTATTAAAATCTTGAGTCAACAATGGTACAAGTTGGAACATTTTGCAGTTTGATTGTGATGATGGTCATCACAAGATTGAGATTTTGATCACTTTGAGGGACTAGCATAACCAGTTTTAAAGTGTAAGCTACAGGTGCGAGCTTAGACGCAGCGGAGCAGGGCTAGGCAAGTTAATACAGCTTCACTATGGAGCAGATGTTTTGCCTCAAAGGTTAAAAACGCAGGGTTATTAAGCAGCGTCTCGCCTGCAATCAAAAACGCAAGCTCATCTTATTCAAAGCTGATGCGGCTGACACTTTTACGATCTAACCTTCTCAATGAATGCAATGACCTCAAATTTATGACTTGAATATTCTCTGTCCTCGCATGCAAAATAAGGACCAAACAAGACCTTGATGTTGTAAAATTAGCCATAAGTTGAGCTTGAGCTAAATAATGACACTATTGTCTTTTAGAATTGCTTTACAGTTCAGTTTTCATAATTGATTTTGCCGTTTTCTTTTTTATTACTCTGTGTCAATTGTGCTTTGACACAATCTGTATAAAATATAGAAATAAAAGAACTTGATATGTAGGGATGGGAATTTTCAGGCACCTCAAGATCCGATCCAATTCCCATTTTGGGAATCATGATCCAATTCCAAACAGATCCTCGTTTTTTTCTTATTTATTAATTTATTAATGAGTGTACCGCCTTTGAATGTCAAATTTATTTGTGCATTTTTATTAAATTACTTTTGCATAATTATAAGTAACTTTTGAACATAATTACAAATTTAATAATAAAATCGAAACAATTATATGTCAGGGTTTTTCCTGCATAGAGAATTATGAAGCGGGTTGTCGACAAACCTCTTTTTTTAGTCCAAAGGTTCACATATTTGGCATACATGGGCATACATGTTTACTTGATATTTCTTTACACAGAATCATCATTTCTATTCATTTTCCACTGATTTACGCGATCTGATGAGCATTATCTATCTGTGTTTTCGCTTCATATCTAGGGCTGGGTATCGTTCAAAATGTTTCGATATCGATACCGATACCTTGACTTCGATACCGGTTCCTGAACGATACTTTTTTCGATACCAATTTTATGAAATCAATTTTAACAAGATTGCATTATTTAAAA